TTAGATTTCAAATAAAAGCACACACAGGCCAAAGATATGGAAAAAAACGGTTCAGGGGAGACTCGCCAATAGAGCCAATAGAGCTTTTAATACTAATTCAAATGAAAGATGTATATATGTCGGTTCCAGGCCATAACGCAGAGAAACTCTCACTTGTTTGAAGCATTTTTGTTCCTGCTGAATCGGACGATATCATTTTTGGAGGCCTAGGGGCAGATTCTATAACCAGTTTTTTTAAGTATTGGGTACCGAGTGTTGGGGACAATTCAGCACATCACTAGTCGCCCTCATTATCGCCGCTCTCAGTTGTCAACTCTACGATGACGTCACGCTAAAATTACTCTCACGAATTCTGCTGCAATCGGCGCAATCTTGTATTCTATCATTCTTGGTGAATGCCTGTACGATGCGCTGCTACTACCGTCCTAGTACATTTTGGAACATAATGCTTAGTTAAAAAAATACTCTTACAACCAGGGTACGAAAATAAACTGTACAAAACTATTCCCATTTGCTCATCGATCATCATATCATTTGTGGTTATGTACAGTTTTGTACATAGTCAGAAACAATTTGTAAGATTCAGTGTCAGTTTCCCCAACGAGAAACGTTTGCTTTTCGTTTGTGACAATTGTACCATTAGACCGGTTCAAAAAAAAAATAAATTTCTTTTTTCCATGACATTAGTAGAGAAATGAGTTGCTCTACATGTCCAAAGACATTTTTCCAAAGGCTACCCCCAATATCTTTAATATCGGATTAGCGAATCGTATTTGAATGTCAAAATTTTTGGATTATCGTCTTAGAACTTAAAATGTGTATAATTGGAAGCTATTTCGGGCTATTTCGAAAAAATCACCAGGTTTATAGGGGTAGTTTTTACCCGGGAACTCAAATACGTTGATATTTTTATCTTACCAAGCAATCGTGATTAATAATAAATAGAATCTGCAACTCAAAATTTAAAAAATCATGAATTTCAATTGTCCAACTATCCCCAAAAATTTTCCAATATTCTCAATACTATGTACCTTCCTATTCTATTTTTTCCGCCCTTTTCAATGCCATCAACGGAATTTCGTTATATTTTTTTAAGTTCGAGTTATTACCGAATTTTCTAAAAAGCAGCACATACACACATATAGCAGACCGGCTAAAAAAAAATGTTTTCTCCTTTTCATGATATTAGTATGTCCAAAGATATTTTTCCAAAGGCTACCCGCAATATCTTTAATATCGGATTAGCGAATCGTATTTGAATGTCAAAATTTTTTGATTATCGACTTACAACTCAAAATGTGTATGATTAGAAGTTATTTCGGGCTATCTCGAAAAAATTACCAGGTTTATAGGGGTAGCTTTTACACTGGAACTCAAATATGTTGATATTTTTATCTTACCAAGCATCGTGATTAATAACACTGTGAGACAAATGGTAGGGGTCAGTGATCGGGAAGGGTTCAAACTGCCGGGAAATGTTATATCGGTAAAAAAAAAGTTATACGTGGCCCGGCGTTTCGCTGGGTCACGTCTAGGAATCGAGATATATCGATTTGAAGTTAGTAACTATCATATAGGGGAAAAATAAATGTATGAAGAAAAAAAATATTTTTTGCCTAAAATATTA